AACATGAGATCGTAGAAAACTCACTGACCTGATGCTGAAGAAATGTGTGTGGGTACTGTCTTGAGTGCCCCTTGCTGCCAGAATGATTTTGGACAAAGCCCTTCACTTCTCTGAGCCATGAATGTCCCATCTGTTGAAGTCATTGAGTTGGCCTGAAATGAGCTTCAAGGTTCTTTCAACTGAAACTGCCTGCCATACCATGCCCTCTGGATCCACCCCAATCCAAATGGGGTCCTGGAGATTCAAATCAATGTTGAGTGACCAGAGAAATGTTCCAGAGAAGAACCAGCATGTCCCACTGCCAAAGACTGTCTATGCTGTGATTTAAGGTCAAGATTTCTGAGACTGTTGTTGAAATCCCTCTTGTCCTGGCCTCACTTCTGTTAGTCTCTCAACTTTCCAGGGAGCCTTCCTAGCCAAGAATGATTTAGTATCTGTCAGACCACTGAGGCTCATGATTAGAGCTGCCATCAAGATGACCCTGTGTAATAATCCTGTGTAGGTGTCTCCTAAAGAAGTAGTAGACAGGACCTCTGTCATATATTTCTCTCTCAGTATATCCCCTTAAAGTAGTAGGGTAGTGGAAATGTATAGGATGTTAAGGGGAGATTTCATTGGAACAACCTGTCAGTTATATAAACCACATCAAATGAAGTTAAAATGTGGGGGAAGCCCCATCGCACAACAGTTAAGCAGCTGTGTACTGGGGGCTGGATCCCACATGGGCAGCCACAGTTCAAATCCCAACCCTATTGGCTTGAGAAAACACACCAGGCATACATACATGCAAGCCCTAAATCCCAAGGGGATATAGAAATGGAGGTAAAAGGATTGTGGCATGGCCAACCCCCATTGAAGGGTTCTTTCTTTCTCTCTCCCCACCCCTTTGCACATCGCCATTTGCACACATGGCAGTTAAAAAGAAAGAAATTGAAGTATGGTATTCAGGGAAGGTTTTGCTTTAAGGAATCAAACTCTAATTTGAATTGTTTTTGTTGTTGTTGCTTTTATTATGTTGTCTCTGAGTGATTCAGGAAAATATGAAGTCAAGCTTTCCTTGATTAGTTTGTTTTAGGTGGAAAACAAAGTACATTGAGAATTTATCATTTTTCTGCTAACATTTTACACAGTTGGAAAGGATTGGGACTTGGAAGTAGGGTAAGAGAAATGGTTGTGGGTTTCATGGCATAGTTTCAATTATCACTCAGTCTTGCCATGAGCCAAAGGAGGTCCTTTTAAGGGACCATTAAGGCCTGGACTGACCACACTTTCCTATAAAGGCTTGGCAATGGTTGCCTCAGGCTTCCCTGGAAAGAGAACAGGTTTCGGACAGGTTCCAAAAGAACCCTCTGGTCCAATGTGTCTCAGAATGGTGGTTTCCAGAGCAGAACTGGGGTGAGGAGGAATCAGGGATGGGGTTGAGGATTATAACATGTGTGTTGCCACCTGATGCTTTTGGCAAGATAGAAGAGGAAATGACTATAGGAAAGGGTAGGAAATGTTAATAAAAACATTCGTGTCTCCGAATCCTGTCATTATATTTAACAATTTTTCTTGATTTATAATGATAGACATGTATGTTGTATTCCACACAGTGTTAATAACAGTGGCTGTGCCTTGTATATTTTGTGATTGATCTACAATGAGAGTAGAATGGAACAAAAAGATAATGTCCCTATTTTAACTAAAATTTACTAAATAATTTATAACGAAATAAACTTTACCTAAGTGTTTCCAAACCAATAGATCAAAGACCTAAACATAAGAACTGAAGTTGTAAAACTCTTGGGGAATAAAAAATAAATAAAAGCTCATAGTAAAGTTTCATGACTTAGATTTCTCAATGGTTTTTTTAGCTATGACACCAAACACTCAAGCAGAAGAAAAACGTAGCTAAATTGGACTTCGTCAAGATAAAAAGGTTTCCACACCTATGAACACTATCAAAAGAGTGAAAACTTAATCCAGAGAATAGAGGACAATTTCACAAAGCATTTATTTGATTAAGGTCTAATATCCAAAATATATAAAGAACTCTTATAACAAAATAATAAAAAGACAACTCAATTTAAAAATGGGCAAAGGACTTGAGAAGACATTTCTTCAAAGCAGACACAGATGAAAGGATGTGTAACATCACTAGTCATGAGGAAAATGCAGATCAAAACCACAGTGAGACAGGATTTCATACTCCTATGGAGACTACCATAAAAAATAAAATAACAAGTGTTGGCAAGGATATGTAGAAATTAGAACTACAGATAATGATGATAAGAATAGAAAATGGTGCAGTCGACATGGGAAACAATTTGGCAGTTCCTCAAAATTTAAACACAGGGTTACCAGATGACCCTGTAGTCCCACTCTTGCTTACATGATGGGTCCTTCAGAAAGTTCATGGGGAAAAAAGTTCATGGAAAATGCATATTGTTTAAAAAAAATGCATAGATTTCAGAATTCTTTACACCCAAATAAACTAGTTCTTTAGTTCTTTAATTAAATTTTTCCACAGTCCCTTTATATAGCCAAAATAATTGAAAACAAGTGTTTAGAACAAAACTCGTATATGAATGTTCACAGCAGCCAAAGTGGAAACAAGCAATATATTCATCAAATGACCAGCAAATAAATAAAATGTGTCATGGAATATTATTCAGCCCTTAAAAAAGAATGAATTGTTGATACGTGCCACAGTGTGAATGAAACCTTGCAAATATTATTTATCTTAAGTGATAATATTATAAATATTATACAATATAAAATTACATTGTATGATTTGTCCAGAATAGGGAAATTTGAAGAGACAGAAAGCACATGAGTGTTTTTCAGGGGATTGGGAAAGAGAGGATTGGGGAAAGAGAGGAATGGGCTTAGGGTCTCCATTTGGGATGGTGTGAAAGTTCCAGATCTAGAGGGTGTTGGCTGTATGACATCATGAGTGTGCTTACTGCCAGTAACTTGTGCACTATAAAATGGAAAAAATGGTAAAGGTTATATATATATTTTCTCACAATAAAAAAGGTTTCCAAACTATAAACCTCCCAGAAATGCTGGTAATGAAATACCTTTGGCAAATAGCTCAGGTTTACTAAGGAAGTACACGTATTTCAAGCACGGCCTTTGGGAGTAGGAAAAGCTTCTCGAGAAAATGTGCACCACCGACATTCAGGCATTCTGTGTGCTGGTCCGGGTTCTGGCATGATGTGGCTTTGGGTGGGTCATGAATCCTCCTGGGCCTCAGCTGGGAAACCCATCTGGGTAGGAGAATATCTCAGTCAAGTGTGAGACCTTTTCAGGCCTCATATATCTTCCTTGGTCCCTAACTAGAGGGAAGGGGAGACTATTTTAAAGGGATTCCTCCCCTTGAGGAAGCCAGGATTGAACTGCAATCTTAGGAAGACTTGTAATTAACTAGGAAAACTGGGAAAGAAGCAGATAGCATTCCCAGTGGGGAACAAACTGTAAGGAAGAAAGGAGAGTGGGCTGGAGGGGACCTTGTGAAGACAGACGCTATCATGGCATCCTCCTGGGATGTCACTCTGGCTGTGTCAGCACCCTCGTATTATAGGACCAAGAAAAGTGATCTCTCTGGGATCACAGATATAGCACCTCTACCAACATACACTGCTCCCATGTCCCCAAAGACTACATTCCATGCTCTAGGCTGTGTGACAGCTATGAAGTGGTGTCTCTGGAACACAGGGTGTTCCCTATGGTATCTAGGCTGACCGGAAGGCCCCATGGCCCAGGCCCCTCAGCATCTCCCCAGCACCGTGTGGCATGGAACACAGAACATGGCTATGGAGTGGGACCCTAGCATGCTGTAGCCAGCACGCAGAAGGGGTTGCTCCTTTTGGTCTTCAGTTTCTGCCAAGCAAGCCTATAAATCTAGGTTCTGAGGACTGTGGGTGGAGCTTGACTGTAGCAACCATTGTATTTGTCAGATCCACAGCATATTCAAGTGCACTTCAAAAGGTTCATGGAGGGAACCAGCAGTTAGCGTAATGGCTATGTCACTGGACTCCCACGTAGTCAACCGCGGTTCGTGTCCCGGACCCGGTGGCTTAAAACTCACGCCGGGCGCGTGTGCGTGCGTGCCCAAGATCCCGAGAGGAGAATGGAGGAGAAGGGATTGTGGCGTGACCATCCCCCCTGGGGGGAGATTTCTCGCTTTCTGTCTCTATGTCTCTCTCTGTCTGTCTGGCGAGCGCACACGCCCTACAGTGAAAATCTCTCCAAAAAAAAAAAAAGGTTCATGGAAAGGGACCAGCCGTTAGCGTAATGGCTACATTGCTGGACTCCCATGTAGTCGACTGCGGTTCAAGTCCCGGACCCGGTGGTTTAAACTCACGTCGCGTGCATGTGCGTGCGTGCCCAAGATCCTGAGAGGAAAATGGAGGAGAAGGGGTTGTGGCGTGGCCATCCCCCCTGGGGAGTGATTTCTCACTTTCTATCTCTCTGTCTCTCTTTGTCTTTCTGGTGAGCTCACATACCCTATAGCAAAAACCTCTCAAAAAAAAAAAAAAAAGTTCACGGGAAAATGGAGTTAAAGTACAAGTTTATTTTGATGGAAAAAAAGAGGAAATCCTTGTATAGTTTTTTCATAATGCATGTTTTTCCAGTAATATGTTGAAGACCCTTGGTATTTTCTGGGAAAACTGGATCTACTTTTAGAATGGAGGCCACAGTTTCCATGCTCTGATGGAAACCAAGGTGGCCGATGTTCATACCTGCAGGTCAGGTGCTATGTCCCGTGGAGCCTGCCCCACTGGAAGTGGGCATGGTTGGAAGGCCCAGAGCTGGGCCTCTGGGGTGGGTTTGTGTGGCGCGATACCATGGGAGCCGATCATTAGAGGAAGAAGCTTGTCAGCAAGTCTCAGTTTAGACATTGCCTCGGTCCAAATTTATTTCTCACTAATTTGGAAGCTTGCATAAATCATTTGTCTTGGTGACCATCAATCTCGTTCATCAGGCTTAATGTTTTTCCCTTTTGCTTTCAGGAAAGTAGATCTGGAGAGAACAACAGCTGTGTAGAAGAAATCATCCGGGTAAGAAAATACTTTTAAAAAAAAGATTGTATAAATCTTTTGGGTGTAAGTTCCAAATAGGAAGGTGTGTGGCAGCCTTATCAAAGGAAGCCCATTGTTTGCCGTGTGACGTTCACCTTTTCTCAGGGTAATCACCTAAGCTGCTGAAGTGACCCTTTATGAAACAACACTTCCACCCGGTGCCTTTGCACACGCTCCGGTGACACTGTGTCAGAGAGTCAGCTGGAAGACCGAAGAACAGGGCTGAGATGACAAATACCATCATGCTCACATTTATCACCTTAACTATTTAAACGCATCTTGTAATACCCTGTACTTTTGAAGTCAGGCAGGGGTTGCCTTGTTATTTTTCTCCTAAATCTAATTAGAATCAGAAGCACTTGACAAAGAGGTAATGCTTAGAGTCTCAGAATTTATTTCTCCATTGCTTTGCATGACATTAATTTCCCCATTCCTCCACATGGCTGTCCTTCTCATCAACATTTCTAGTGTGGATTTCCCCTGCGAGCCCAGCTTGACTGAGGTTGTCTGTTCTGCCACGTTAATGTTTTCCTAAGTATTCCAAGTTATCATCAGGATGTGGTCAGCAACCTGTATTTTTCTTCACTCGTAGTTTTTCACGGGAATAACCTAATAATTTACAGTTCTCAAAAAGCTGGTATTTCACTGAACGAAACATCAAGACAAATTGCACCAGATGGTAGGGCAATTCACTGTAAAGGAAAAAAAAGCCAACAACAATAAAAAATCTTTGATATGATCATAATTTTTGGATATTTTACAGACTTTCTGAAATATAGTGGTATAATTACTTATTTTAAAATTTTATATTAACAAACTCTTCAAAACCAGAAGTTTTTTTTCTCTCTGAGATATATTATTTCATAAATAAATCTTGTAACTCTCAGGTTGACCAGAGTAATTAGTTGAAGTTTGACTTGTTGAATTCATAATGATGTGTTTATTTCATGGCAAATAGTTACAAAGAATACAGTTGTGAAAGTAGGCAGTTTTATTTCTGGCATGTAATGTATGTTAAATGAAAAACATCCGAGGGGACTTCAAAAAGTTTGTAGAAAAATGGAATTACAGTAGAAGTCCATTTTGGTACAAAAAAGTGTTGAAATCCATGCATAATTTTTTCAAAGTACACATTTTCATAGTACACATGGACTTTTTGAAGACCCCGTTATATTATCTCTATTCTGGGTCTTTGGTTCCGTTAAACAAGAGATAGTGTAAGAAGCTAGTGGACTTTTCTAATTTCTTTTCTTTCAACATACATTCAAGTTTGGGGTCCACCTACTTCATTTTTAAGCCATCTTCCTTTGATTGTTTATGGTGTTGTAGCTGCAAAATTATAATGCCAGAATTCCCTTTTTGGTTTCCCTAATTAGAAAAATTCTACCCATTTTATCCTCTCGTGGGCATTTCTGGGAATGTGGGAGAAAGCTGTCAATTGACCTTCCTGGCCGTTCTCTAAGCAGGACTTTGAGTTTGAATACAGACTTGAGTAATTCACACACCACAACGATATAGATTAGAAACAGTAAAATGCTACTAACTTAAAACTTAATGCCATGGTCAAGAGTCTAAAACTTCGTTATTGTTGTTTTCTGAAGAGAGCTGATGAGAGCCTCGTACCCCTTGCTCTGCTCCTGCCTTCCCATAACACTGATTTCTAAAACCTTCCACAGCCCTCAAGTCAGGTGTGGAAGAAAAGAAAATGTGGACCTGCCAGATAATTGATTCATATCCATATGCAAGGTCGAGGTTCCCAGGTGCCTGCAGAGGGCAGTGGAGATGGTGGCTGTATAAAATCCATGAGCTCTCTGAGATCCACTCTTTCAGGAGCCAGTCAGCCATGATGGATGGTTATACAGACATGGAGGAACAGTGGGGATGAAGGTTCCAGTGGCACCCAGTTGAACCTCTCATACTTTCTCCCACCTGTCAGCCTGAGCTGCTGTTAGGAGCAGTTGGTATTTGAGGAGCTCCTGGAGGATCATGTCCACGTCCCCCTGCCTTACTCACATCACTCGTTCTCCAAGGGTGTGGTCCCTCTTACCCTACTCTCTCCTCTGCGCCAGCGCGGGTTCCTTCTCAGTTATGTCCTTTAGGATTTGTTGTGTATCTGTCACATGCCAACCTTCCTTCCAGACTGTGCCCTCCATGTCTACGTTTCAGAAGGCACAATTTGGTTGAATGAGTAAATAAATCATTAAGCTAGTCAGGGCATGAGTGAAAGAGTCCTCTACAGGAATATGATGAATATCATTGTAACAGCTCACAAACAGATTCCATGTGCTGTAAATCCTGGATGTGACATATTGATCTCCGTAGTGCCAGGTTTCCATCTATAGTCTCTGTAGAGCTGTATTGTTGTTGTTGATGTTTTTAATCAGTTTCTTTACCCTGTGACCAACTCAGGTAAACCAATGTGGTCAGGGTCACCAGGAGTACTCGCTTGTAGCCATTGTGTTTAACTGATATTTCTCTCTTGTTGTGGAGGGAGGAGTCATGAATAATGCCTTAAACTGATGAAAATTAGGGTATTCGTGCCCTTCCCATGTGGGAGATGCCAGGAAAACAATGCTGGGCCAATCAGACACAGCCCATGTCTTCATAGAACTAACATTCTGCTGAAAGAAATGGATACTAGGTTTTAAAAGATTACATAAATAAATATAAAAAGTCAGCTGTGATAAACACTCAAGATTTTATGATAGCTGTGAGTTGACATTTTGGTCTAATTATCATATCATTGTTAATGAAATCACAAAAAATGGGTAAGGTTGGGGCCAGCAGATGGCATGGTGGTTAAGGTACTGGATTCTCACATGGCTGACTATGTTTGGGTCCCAGACCCAGCAGCTTGAAAAATCATGTTAGTTATATGTGCATACATGCACAAAATCCCGAGAAGAGACTGGAGAAGACGGGATTGTGGTGTGGTCATCCTCCCTAAGGGGGTGATTTGCTCACTTTCTCACTGTCTCTCCCTCTGTCTCTGGCATGCTTTTGAATTCCGTGACAAAAGAGAAAACACACACACACACACCCCTAAAAAATGAGAGGGAGGGTAAATCCTCCTAGAGAGAGAGTAGAGTCTGAGAAACAGTGAGTGCCCAAGTTCTGACACTTAAAGGCCAAAGAAAGGACGCTCCACTGACAAACTGAATTGAGGAGGAGTGACCAGAGAGGTGGAGAAGAAATTATAAAAAAGTCATTGACTAAACTAGCCAGTGGCATGGTGGTTAAAGCAGCTAGATCCCACATGGCCAATCACACTGTTTGAATCCCATACCCAGTAGCTTGAAAAAGAACTCCAGGCATGTATGTACATATGCCCAAAATCCTGAGAGGAAATTGGAGTCGAGAAGGGAATACTGCATGGCCATCCCCACTGAGGGGTACTCTCTTGCTCACTTTTGCCCTCACTCTCCCCAACCCCTCGGTGAGTGTACATGCCCTATAGCAAGACTTTAAAAAGAAAAAAAAACCAACAACACAAAAACTCATGGCCAAAAAGAGAGCGTTATAAGCTGCTCAGAGTTTCTGAGACCAGAAGGATAAAGATCTAAAGCCACCCAATGGATTGGACAACACAAAGGTCGTTTAGTGACTTTTTTCAACCTGTTTCTATGGAGTGGAGAGATAAGAATCCAAACGAAGAAAACAGAGGAAATGTAACCAGTGAGCTGAGCAAAAGTCATAGTGTCCTGTCCTTCCAGTTCCCATTTCAGTCACCATATATCCAATACCCAGGGGGACAAAAACATTCATGGAAAATAGAATTAAATATAAGTTTATTTTGCTGCAAAAAACATAAAATTCTGAATTATGCACATCGTTTTTTATAATATACATTTTCTGAGAACTCCAGGAAGAACCATTTTTATAATATACATTTTCTGTGAACTCTTGGAAGAACCGCCCCCCACCCCCCATACAGTAACAATTACCAAACGATGGCGAGCTAGCACTTACTGGATACTCACTGTGCATGAGGCGTCAGTCTAAGTTCCTTACACAGGTTAACTCATGTTAACGTGTTAACTTTAACCGTCACCACTGCCCTATGAGGTTGGCACTGCAAATACCCCCACTTTACAGGTGAAGAAACTGAAGTGACAAGTTAAACAGGGTGTTCGAGGTCACACCGGTAGTGAGTGGTATGGCTGGGATTTTAACCAAGACATCTGGCAGCAGCGCTCTTTCTCTCTGCCATTGTCCTGTCTCCTAAGTACTCCCCTGACTTCTTAATGGAGCCACACAGGCATTTCTGGGATAGGGAGGGTTCTTGTTTCTGCAAGCTTATGATTCAGCGTGCCAGGCCGTGCGTCTGTGCACTTAAACACATGGAGGTTTTATAGCCAACATTATCAACCTCATCTTTAACTTCTTTCCCTCCCCTGCCTAATTTTTGCTGGCATGACGATTTTCAAGTCATTTGACTACTCTATTGTGTTCTCAAGTATAATTATTTTTTATCCTTACTCAGAGAATTTTAATCCTGGGACCTAATAAATCTGTGTGTTACTGCAAAATTCTCTTAACCAAGGGAGAAATTATAACTGAGATCTATGAAGATGGGAGAGGAGGACTAGAAGCCCTTATAGCTGACATATGTTTGTAACAGGCAGTTTTCTAAGTTACATTATATTTCATCCTTAAAGGTTCCAGTGCTGTAGTACTTGGGTGCTTTTCTTTGCATTATCCATTAACCTGGAATGGTATTAACATTTATTCAGCAAATAAAATTTGTTTACAGCTTGTGCAGGGAGAGACAGCGCACTCGGGGCTGGAATCTGGGATGCTTAAGTTTTACGCGAGGCAGCTTTAGACGGTGTTTGCTGAGCGCACCATTCGTAACTTAGAGCACTTTCATAATAAGAGACCAGTGTTTGAGATTATAGTTTGGGCTCAAGGGGTGGATTTAAAGATGATTTCAGCTCAGCATCTGAGCAGATTACCTTCTTGGCTTTCATCTTTAGTCA